TGTATGTGTGTGTGTGTGTGTGTGTGCGCGCGCGTGCATGCCTGCGCATGCCTGCATATGCCTGCGCATGCCTGCGCATGTGTCGGAAGATGGGCGCCCAAGCGACGTACCTCGGGAAATGATGCCGCCGAGGGGCTGCTTCTCCGGCAGAGTGGGAACCACCCGGTAGGGGTAGCGCGCGACCAGCTGCGACTCGAGCCACACAAAGTCCGAGAAACGGCGGACCACGGGCTGACCCTTGGCCGTGTGCTTGCGCGAGGCCAAGTAGTAGAAAGTGGTCCGGAAGAAGGTGCCCGGCACCTGGGGGTCGTCGGCCGGCGCAATGGCCAGGGTGATGTTGTTGGCGTTGCTGCGGGCAGGGGAGAGGTCAGTGCGGGCGAGGGGAGCAAATGCCACCAGGGGCGAGGGCCGGGCAGGACACACCTGGCACCGCGCGCGGCGCCCACCGGGGGCAGGCTGTTGCCGAGAGTGCCGAGGGAGGCCAACCCCGGGACCGCGACCGGCTGTGGCAGCATCGCCTGGAGGAGGGCCGGCGATGAGGGGACCGACAGGGCATCCGAGAACTTGGGCACTGGGTCGACAGGACCAGGAGAAGAGAGTGAGAAAGGCCCAGCCGGGAGGGGGCACGCAAAAGGGTCAGTCCATGGTCAAAGGGAGCCGCCCGGCCCCTCGGCCCGGAGGGGAGGGCGGAAGGGAGGCACGCGCCCGAAGGCTACCCCCCGCCCCCCCCCCCCCCCCCACACACACACAGGCAAGGACACACGCACCGCCGCCATAGAGCCCGGCGTTGAGGGGGGTCAGCGGGCGCTTGGCGCCGGACTCATCGAGGGCCCGGGGGTCATCATCGCGCAGGAATTGCGCAAGCGAGATGAGCTTCAGGGCGAGAGTCAGCTCCTCGCGCGACAGGGACCCGCGCTTGGAGATGTCGGCCATGTCCCAGATCTTCAGAGGCGGGGGTCAGTAATGCGGAGCCAGGAGTCGGGCGGGGGCGAGAAACAAAGCCAGGCCCCGGCGTACCGAGCGGAGGAGGTCATTGTCGAGACCGGAGCGCTCGAAGAGCGGCCGCAGCCCGGACGCCGGGAAGGTCCCGCACTTGGGCGTCGGCGGGGCATCCTTCTGGGCGATGGTCTCCAGGAGGGCCTCAAGCTCCCGGAGCTCGGCCTCGCGGGCCTGCCCGGCCGGGCCGGCCACATCCGCGAAGGGCTGGTCCACATCGGCCACCGGGGCCGCGGCCGCGGCCCGGCGGAACATCGAGCTGGACATCGACGAGGAGGGGGTGCTCGCCGGGGTGGAGGCCGCTGCCGAGCCCGGGGTCGCCGCCGGGGTGGAGCTGGCCTGGTTCGAGGCGTACACAGCGTCCAAGCCGCGACGCTGGGCGCGATGAGCGCTGGTCGACGGCACGGCCGGCGCCGAGGCGATGGGCACGTCGTCGAACGGATCGCCGAAGGGGTTGTCGTCCATGATGTGAGGGCCTGGGGCTGCGGAGGGAGGGGGGGGG